GGCAGGCAGGCGCAGCAGCGCGCCTGGCAAGGAGAGCGCTTACCAGGGGCGAGTGCAGGGCAGGGCCGCGACCAGTGGGTAGGGCAGGGCCGGTACAGGGCGGCAGCTGGGCAGGGTCGCTACGAGGCGGCGATAGAGCAGGGCCGTGTCGGCACTGGTGAAGCAGGCGCGAAGCGCGCTTCTAGCAGGGCAGGAAAAAAAGTTCTATCATGGTGGGCCCTAAAAAAACGTTCCCACCAGGGAACCTACCCTGAAACCATGTCAGAATTAGGAAAGAAGAATGACGAGAAACACAGCAGTACAAGGTTTGCAAAACCTAATTGGGCTGTACCCCTTGGGGAGTGCCCCACTACAGCCTGGAGCATAGTTCTGACATATGTGTATGTGTGTGTGTGTGTGTGCGTATATTTGTGTGTGTGTGCGCGTGCGTGTGTGTGTGTGTCTGTATGTGCGCGCGTGAGCGCACGTGTGCGTATGTGTGTGTGTGTGTCTGTGTATGTATGTGTATCTGTATATGTGTGTGTGTGTGTCTGTGCGTGCGTGCACGTATGTGCACATATGCGAGTGTATTTGTGCTTGTGTTTGTATTTTTGTTTGTATGTGTATGTATGCGTGTTTGTGTGTGCGTATGCATGTGTGCGTATGCATGTGTGCATGATAGAGAGAAGATGGGAGGCAACGATTGAAGCTGTAGAGGCACGGGCACAGGAGCGGCTGACTCAGTGGCTACCGAAGCAAGGGCGACGGACTACTAGAGTGACTGGCTCCGCGGCTATAGACGAGCGGCAGGAGCAACGGACCCACTGGCGACTGGTGCAACAGGCTCACTGGCTACCGAAGCAAGGGCGACGGACTACAGGCGCTGCAGACGACACGACAGCTACCTCCTCACACAACTTCCTCCAACAGTCCCACCCCCCGACACACATCCGCTGCTACACTGCTAGCTCCACTCCCACGCACCCCCCTTAAACCCTAAACCCCAGTCTCCCACACATCCACCCCCCTCAGCGACAGCTGCAGCAGTGGGAGACGAAGGAGGAGGAGGAGCAAAGGGAGGAATGAGGAAATGCCACCCCCATACTCGCCACCCCCTACTTGCCACCCCCAAACCCTAACACTGACAGGGTGGGATGGCGGGTAGGCAGGGTGGGATGGCGGCGCTCACCCCCCTCCCCCGAGGGTCGCCTCGACAGGCGACGGGAAATGAGGCCGGGGCGCAAGGAGGGCGGCGGGGCCACAGGTGTAGGGCGGCGGGGCCGCGAAGGTGGGGCGGCGAGGCCGCGACAGAAGGGCGGCGGGGCCGCGAAGTGGGGCGGCGGGGCCGCGACGTGGGGCGGCGGGCCGCAAACGTAAGGCGGCGGGGCCGCGACGTAAGGCGGCGAGGCCGCAAAGTGGGGCGGTGGGGCCGCGACGGGTCCCCGTCGCCCGTCGCGGCGCCTCCAGAGGGGGACGCGGCGAACGACGGGGCAGAAGCCCGCCGCACGCCTCGGGGCGCACAGCGGGCAGAGAACCGCCGCGCGCCTCGGGGCGCACAGCGGGCAGAAAACCGCCGCGCGCCTTGGGGCACACAGCGGGAAGAAAAAGTTGTAGCGGAAGCGTGGAGGTGGTAACCCACCCACAGGATCGATCCAAGGGGATTGACCTGCTCTGATAGCATGACAAAAGTTAGAAGAAAGAAGGGGGTTGAACTAGCAGGAATGAGGATACAAATAGCAATTCCCTAGAAGGGTTGTACTCGCTATAGAGCACCCCACTACAGGCTAGAGCATAAGATAACATTCTGACAGGGGGTGCTGTTGAGATGTATGAAGAGCAGAATATATGGGACTAACAAGAGGAGAGTACAAATTTCTAGAAAGCGTGCCAGCGCTACAACGGTTCTCCAGCGTTGCACCCGTAGATGGTAGCAATGCGCACGCTAGCAGGTGCGCGCAGACGCTTGGCCCGACTTGCATCGTTGTTTATCCGTCGGCTGTTGTCTGCGCCTAACGAGCCACATCGACTTCGGGATAAGAGCCCGAAGTCGTCTTCGTCACCGCGACCTTGACGGCGTTCGCATGTCTCCGCAGAACTCGCCGAGCAGGTTACCTGGTCGACTGGGACACCACAAGGTGCTCTGGTCGACCACCAAGTCCCTCTCGTCGAATACCAAGTGCCTCTAGCCAACCATCAAGTGCTTTGATCGACCACCAAGTGCCTCTAGTCCACCACAGCTCCCGTCAAGCAACACCTTTGTTGACGGACCCCTCTATCGACCAGCATTGTTAGCTGTTGTTGCCGAGCTCCCCTCGTTGGCCGTTGCTCACTTATCAGGTCGACAGACTTTTTCGTCGACCTCCCCATCAAAATGCTCCTCCTGGTTGACGGCTCACCCGTCGACCAGCCCAGTCACCCGCAGCTCCCGAGCTCCCTGGTCGATGGCTCCAACCCCGTGATAGTCCCGTGCAGGTCGACAACCACCTCGTCGACCTGCCCCACAGAAGAAGGCCGTCGATCACTCCTGTTCGACGACAACACCACAGTGATCCCCTGCAGCTTGACGAAGCCCGTCGAGCAACTCCTTCACTGTGCATGGTCGGCTGCTTCTCCCGTACATCCGACCAGGACGTCGCCGTCGCCCAAGCGAGGGCGGGGCCAACACTCCATTCCCATTAACTCTCCCCTTCCGTACTCACGTGTGGGCCCCTAGCCGACACGGCAGTACTTTACGAAGAAAAATCATCCTTGGCGTGCACCCCACACACAGCACGCCGTCACCGCACCAGTCGTGCAGAAGGGCATGGCACATATTGCTGCACCTTGTCGTCCCCAGCGCCAATGTTGGCCAGGTGCACTTGGCCGATTGCGACGGAGCACCGGTTGAAGGCCGGAAAATGCAGCGCCTTTTTCAGAAGTCTGCCGGCTGCTCGGTGGTGGGGATGTACTTCTCGCGTCTCACCATGTGTTGCAGCCAGGAGTAGCGTCCCTCCATGTGCTTGGGTTGCCTGTCATCCCCAAGCCCTCATCGACAATGATGGCCGACTTGTTGTCCACACAAAGGATAGTCGGCTTCCCCCCGTCTAGCTTCTTGAACTCTTCAAGGAAAAAGCAAAGTCGGTGTCCCTCCTTGCTAGCGTTCGTGACCGCCACGTACTCCGACTCGTTCGACAACAGTGTCGCGCACTTGATGCGCGAGCTCGACCAGGAGACAGAGGCCCCTCCGTAGACGAACACATAGCCGCCCGTGCTCGTCCGAATCTGCTTGTCACTGGCGTTGCCGGCGTCCACGTAGCCGGCTCAGTCCACCACCGAACTCCAGGGTGGTGTCGCGGGTGTCAGTGAGGTAGGCGAGGCAGCGGTCGACCTCGCGCCAGTGCTTATCGCTCCTCATCGTGAGGCCACTCCGTAGCTTGCTGCAGGCAAAGGCGATGTCCGGACTCGTCGTCGTCGCCGCAAACTGCAGCGAGCCGACCTTCTCCCGGTACTCTTCCTCCTCACGCTTCTGAACCTCCTTGTCGTTGAATGCCAGGTCGGCGTAGGTGTCGATTGAGACCGGCGTCTTCAGGATGCGCCCGCCTTGCTCCTCGTCGATGAAGCGCTTACGCAGCTTATCAGCGTAGTTCTGCTGGTGCAGCCACAGCTTTCTCACTGGCCTTTCGCGCACGATCTCCAGCCCGAGGTACTTGACGACGGGCAAGATCTCACGCAGCTCGAAGGCGGCCTCCAGAATCGCGGTGCTGCTACTGACGGCGAGCAGGTCGTTGACGCAGACCAGCACCCAGCAGGTAACTCCATCGTCGCCGGCCTTGAAGTAGAGCGCTGTGTTGACCTAGCTCTTCTTCTAGCCAGCGCCCAGCAGCACACTGTCGAGAGCCCTATACCACAGCAGCGGCGACTGCTGTCAAACTTATATCATATAGCTTGTCTAGGCTATAGTGGGGTAGACACTATGGGGTACAGTTTCCTAGGGTTCCCTACTTGTACCCAACCTTGTGCTAGTTCATTCATTCCTCATTCTTGACATGGTATAGAGCAGGTACCCTCGTGGGAACGCTTCTCAGGGCCCACCACCTAACTCGATCTTTTTCCTGCCCGAGGCGCGCCCCGTTGGCCGCCCTCACGTCGCGCCCTCCTAGAGCCCCCCTTGCGCCACCCTTAGCGGCCCCGTCGCCGTTCTTCACGCCCCCCTCACCGCTGCTCTAAACCCTGTCGCCGCCCCTCTAGGCCCCCCGCGGCCCCTTCGCGGCCCCGTCGCCACCCCTAGCAGCCCCGTCGCCACCCCTCTAAGCCCCTCGCGGCCCCTTCGCGGCCCCGTCGCCGCTGCCCTAGGTCCCGTAGCCGCCCCTAGCGGCCCTGTCGTCGCCCCTCTAGGCCCCTCGTGGCCCCTTTGCAGCCCCGTCGCCGCCGCTCTAGGCCCCGTCGCCACCCCTCTAGGCCCCTCGCGGCCCTCTTCGCAGCTCCGTCGCCGCCACTTGCGGCCCCGTCGCCGCCCCCTCTAGGCCCCTTACGGCCCCTTCGCGGCCTTGTTGCCGCCCCTCTAGGCCCCTTGCGGCCCCTCTGCGGCCCCGACGCCGCCCCTAGCAGCCCCGTCGCCGCCCCTGGAGGCCCCGACGCCGCCCTTCGCAGCCACCTGGCCGCCCTTAGGGGCCCCCTCGCCACCCCTAGCGGCCCCATCGCCGCCTCTGCCGGCCCCGTCGTCGCCTCTACTGGCCCCGTTGCCGCCTCTACCGGCCCCTTCACCGCTGAGCCGCCCAGCAGCTGAGCCGCACAACAGCTGAACCGCCGAGCCGTCTAGCAGCCGAGCCGCCCAGCAACCGAGCCGCCGAGCCGCCCGGCAGCCGAGCCGCCCAACAGCCAAGCCGCCGAGCTGCCCAGCAGCCGAGCCGCCGAGCCGCCGAGCCGCCCAGCAGCCGAGACGCCAAGCCGCCCTGCCATCGAGCCACTACAGTTCCTACCGGCACGCCCCGGCCCTACTTACTCGGACTAGTGAGATCACTCCCTGCTAGGCCACTGGAGTCATGGCTACCCCCAGTGTCCTTACCTTTGATGCTGAGGGTCGTGCTGTTGACTTTGAGGTCTGGGTCAATGACCTCCAGCTGTTCCTACAGTGCGATAGGGCGGACGGACTCTCCCTATTCGATCTCACCTCTGGTGCCTCTCCTGCCCCGCCTGCTACTGCTGACAGCACTGCTCGCTCACAGTGGGCCACATGCGATGCTGCTACCCATCTTGCTGTGCGTCGCCACTTACCGACCACTAGGCGTGCGCACTTTAGCCAGTACAAGAGTGCTCAGACCTTGTACGACGCTGTAGTTGCACGCTACTCTTCCCCTACCACTGCTGCGCTTAGCCGCCTCATGCGGCCGTACCTGTTCCCTGACCTTGCTGCCTTTCCCACTATCGCTGACCTCATTACGCACCTTCGCACTAGCGACACTCGCTACCGCGTTGCGCTTCCTGCTGAGTTCTGTGCCAAGAACCCCCCTCCCTCATGTACATCACCCTCTACTACATAGTCACCCGGCTCCCTGGCTCCCTTCGCTTAGTCAGGGACCACTTCCTCTTAGTTTGCCCCACCACACTCACCGTTGACCTCCTCGAGGAGCGCCTCCTAGCAGCAGAGAAGAGCAAAGTCGCTATAGGAGCCTCTCGTGGTGACACTCACGCCCCCGTCTTTGAGGGGTGTTCTCCCTCCCCCCTCTTGCCCTCTGTTGCTTTTGCTGTTGCGGCCAACCTCGTTGGTTTCGAGTCAGTCGGCGCTGCGTCTGCCCCTAGCAGGAGACGCCGCACCGGCAAGGGCAAGGGGGCCAAGGGCACTGGAGGGGCTGGCGGGGGCGATGGAGGTGGTGGTGGAGGCAGTGGAGGGGGTGGGGGTGGTGGTGGGAGTGGTGGCGGGGATGGAGGTGTCAGTGGCAGCAGTGGAGGCGGAGGAGGCGGCGGCGGTGGCGGAGGGAGCGGAGGCGGTGGAGGTGGCGGAGGCGGTGGCACCACCAGTGGAGCTGGTCGCAAATCTACGCAGAGGAGTGGTTCCGGTGGTGGTCTGCGACAGCAGCAGCAGCGCGCTCATGAGACCCCGTCCCCTCAGCAGCTTCGTGAGTGGTACGTTGGGCGTCAACGAGGTGGGGGTACTAGTCACTGCACCTACGTCCTCCGTACAGGCGACCGTGCTGGTGAGCAGTGCGGGGGCCCGCACTCCACCTAGCGCTGCTTTGGCCGCCTGACGGACGCGTGGCGTCACCAGTTCCCTGATGCCACTGAGATGCCTCGCTGAGACGTTCTGTCTAGGGCTGGGGTTGCTATCTTTGATCTTGATTATGATGCTATTCTTGCTGCCATGTATGCTGTGTCTAATAGTGATGAGGGTGACTATTACCTGTGTGTTCCGCCTCACCCGGGCATTGAGGCTGCTGCTCTAGGTGCTGGTGAGGCTGCTGCTCTAGGTGCTAGTGTGTTTGCTGCCCCAGGTGCTGGTGAGTCTGCCCTCTCAAGTACCACGTCGGTTCAGGCCTTACACACCTTCACCCTTGGCTCGGGTGCTTCCCGCTCCTTCTTTCGAGACCACACCACGCTTACGCTGCTTAGTCGGCCGGTTGCAGTCTCCCTGGCGGACCCCTCTGGGGGTCTTGTCCTTGCTAGCTTTTCCACTGTCTTATCGTGTCCGGCAGCCCCCTCTAACACCCTGTCAGGTCTTTACCTCCCCTCGTTCTCTACGAAATTGGTGAGTGGAGCTGATCTACAGGATAGGGGGGTTGACCAGTTCACTCCTGCGAGTCAGCGGGTGACCTAGTGCACGTATGCTCGGACGGGCCGACACTTGGCCACGTTCACCCGTCGGCCGAGGTCGAGCCTGTACACACTTAGTACTTAGTCTCCTCCGGCTGTTGAGTCTCATCAGGTAGCTGCGTCGAGTCAAGTGTTTGCTGCAGCGTCCAGGTCTGGTCCTGAGTCTGTGAGAAAGTTTAGAAGAAAGAAGAGGGTTGAACTAGCAAGAATGAGGATACAAATAGCAAACCCTAGAAGGGTTGTACTCGCTATAGAGCACCCCACTACAGACTAGAGCATAGGATAACATTCTGACAGTCTGCTCCTTGCTCGTGTCATCTCTTGTCCCACCAGACTCTCCTTTGGCACCACCGCCTTGGTCACCCCTCCTAGTTTCGTCTCTGAGGCATGGCCTCCAGTGTCATTGTCTCTAGTCTCCCCCAGTCTCTCCCTCCACTACCTCCGGGGACTGCCCCAACCTGCGTCCCTTGCGTCGAGGGGCGACAGCGCGCCGCCCTTCACTCCTCAGAGTTTCCTCCGACAGAGGCTCCGCTGCAGACTCTTCACATGGACGTGTGGGGCCTCGCCTGCGTCCGTGGCCAGGGTCACGAGCGTTACTTCCTGTTGGTGGTTGACAACAACTCTCGTTACACCACGGTCTTCCCCTTGCGCAACAAGCGTGACGTTACTGAGTTGTTGATCGACAGGATCCGCGCAGCTCATCTCCAGCTCAGAGAGAGTTTCGACTCGGACTTTCCTGTTCTGCGTTTGCAGTCTGACAGAGGCGCGGAGTTTTCCTCTGCCCGTCTGGGAGCCTTCAGTCGTGCACACGGCATCCGCCAGACCTTCACACTTCCGGCCTCTCCACAGCAAAATGGGATTGCTGAGCAGCCGCATTGGCATGCTCATGAACGTCGCTCGTACGTCTATGATCCATGCGGCTGCCCCTTATTTTCTGGGGCCGTTTGCGATTCAGTATGCAGCGCATCAACTCAAACTTCAGCCCCGGGTCTCCTTGCCAGAGACCTCCCCCGCCTTGCGGTGGACCAAGAAGGTTGGCGATGCGTCTGCGTTTCGGGTCTCGGGATCTCGGGCGTTTGTCCGCGACTTGTTTGCGGACAAGCTGTCCCCCTGTGCTGTTCCCTGCGTCTTCCTTGGCTTCCCCCCTGACGTGCCTGGGTGGCAGTTTTACCACCCCACCTCGCGCTGTGTTCTGTCCTCCCAGGACGTCACCTTTGACGAGTTGGTGCCTTACTACTGTCTCTTCCTCTACCACACTGCACCCCTCCCCCCGCCGCCGCTCTTCCTTGCACCAGGTCCTCCCCAGGTAGACCCCCTCCCCCCTCAGGGTCCTGCCTTGTCAGATGTGTCCCAGGTAGACGCAGTCGAGCCTGTTGAGGTAGCTGTTGACTCTGGTGCTGCTAGAGGTGTTGAGGTGCTGGGTCTGGAGGTGCTGAGCCTGGGGGTGCGGAGCCAAAGGGTGCTGATTCAAGGGGTGCGGAGCCTGGGGGTGTTGGGTCTGCTTGTGTGGCCTCTCGCCGTGCTTCGTCGAGGCGAAAGCTACTCTCTCCACAGGAGCTGAGCGAGTGGTTTGCCCGGGGCTAGAGCCCTGCTGCAGGAGTTGGTCGTGCTGGAGGTACTATTGGAGCTGCTGGCGGTATTGGAGCTGCCGGTCCAGCTGGAGTTGGTGCTGCTGAAGCTGCTGGAGCTGGAGCTGCTGGGGGTGTTGGCGATGGTGGTTCTGCTTGCGCTGGTGCGTTTGAGGGTGCTAGAGTTGGCGTTGTTGGAGCAGGAGGCGCTACTGGCGCTGGTGCTCCCGCAGGGGGTACTAGTGCTCTCCCTGCTCGTTCTGGAGGCGCTGCGCGGCCGAGGCCGTACTTCGTTCCGCTCCTTGAGCAGGTTCTTGGTCTCCCGCCCTCTACTGGTCTTGCTCCTCCCTTAGAGTGTCCACACCCAGTCCAGTCGCGGTCACAACTACAGCTCGCCTCCCCCCTACCTGCTCCTTCTCCCTACACTGGTCCTACTCGAGGTCTTGCTGAGCGTCGTGAGCCTGCGTCTTGTCCCGCGTCGTTGGTTCGTGCTGCTCACACTAGTCGTCGTGCTCCGCGTCCGCGTCCTCCTGCAGTCCAAGGCACATACCAGATGGCACTGTGTCCTTCCACTGCTCCTCTGCGTGTCCCGTTCCCGTCTCCTCCAGTGTCCTCTCTTCCTGTTCTTGCTGACCCGGAGTCTGACTCTCTTCGTGCTGCCAGTCCTATTGTCACGCGTCTCCGGGCTACTGTTGTCACCGACCCTTCCTTTGTGTCCACTACTGCGTCCGCCCTAATTGCTGAGCTTGTCGACTTTGCTGCTCGCTGTCGTCTCGACTACGCTACTAGTCTTGTGGCTAAGTCTGAGTCTGTCTGTCCTCCGTCCGTGGGGGGTGTGTGTGCTCTTAGTATGGACGTCTTTGAGGACAGGCAGGAGGAGTTCCAGTATTTTGCTGCTGCTTTGTCTCATCTCGTGTCCATGCTGATTGCCCCTCAGGGAGACCTGTGAGAATAATGAACAGGAATGGAATGACTAAGTGAAAGTTGGGTACAAATACAAACCCTAGAAAGCTGTACCCCATATGTGCTACCCCACTATAGCCTACAACAGCTATGTCATATATATCTGACACACCCCCATAGGCAAAGTGGGGGAGAACAAGGGGTCACAAGACCAGTCAAGCAAAGCAAAGCAAAGCAAGCTCATGGTGGATCACAAAGTCACCACACAGTCCGAGCACAAGAGCATGGCCAGAGGCCAGTTCACATGCAGGAGTACAGACATATATATAAAAACTAGACAAGCAAGAGCAGGTATATATATGTCACAGTACAAGTAAAGTCAAGAGGAGAGCAAGTGAGGCAAGACAGGCACAAGACCCAGCTGGGTGCAGAAGCGCTGATGGTCACAAGGCGCGAGTGCCTTGGTGAACAGATCAGCAGTGTTGGCCGCAGAGGCCACGTACGCAAGCCGCAACTGTCCACGCTGCTGTAGCTCACGAGCAAGGAAGTAGCAAAGAGCAATGTGCTTCGTTCTGTGCTCCAGACGCTGCTCTCGACACAAGGCCAGCATGGCCTTGTTGTCTACGTACAGCACTCGAGGAGAACGAGGCAGCTCTCCAAGGTCATTCAGCAAGTAAGTGAGCCAGCGAAGCTCCTGTGCAGCCATGGCCCCGGCGTAGATCTCAGCCTCACAACTGGAGCTGAGAACCGAAGACGAACGAGTAGCCCGCCACGAGACAGAGCCGGAACCAAGACTGAAGGTGTAACCCTGTGACGACCGCTGCGTAGCCTGGTCGTCAGCCCAAGAAGCGTCCGCGTGGCCTGTAAGGACCACTGGACTCCGCCCTCCAAGCACTAGCCCCATGTCCGACGTACTGCACGGGTAGCGCAATACCCTCTTCGCTGCAGCCATGTGCTCTGGTCGGTGTCTCCCAGGAGCAACATAGCGTGCAAGAATGCTCAGAGGGTATGCAAGGTCAGGTCGTGTGCAGGTCATCAGGTGCATGAGGCAGCCAACAAGCTCTGGGTACGGGCCACTCGACTCTACGGACTCATCCGAAGGCAGAGCTGAGAGCGAGTGGCGAGTAGACAGAGGAGTGGCCTGAGGCGAGGAGTACGTGAAGCCGAAGCGCTGAAGGACCTGCTGCATCATGTGTGACTGAGTCAAGGTAATGGTGCGGCGTGCTCTGTCCCGAGTGATCTGCAAGCCAAGGTAGCTGCGCAGTTCACCCAGGTCTGTGCACGTGTGTCTCTTCAGCAGCTCGGACTTCACGTAGGCGAGTCCAGCAGTGTTCGCTGTGGCAAAGACCAAGTCGTCGACGTACACGAGGATGTAGAACGGCGGCCGTGAAGTGTCGGTGCGCAGAAACAGCGACAGGTCAGCAGTAGAAGGAGCAAACCCAAGAGCCGCAAGCGTAGTCCTCAGTGTGTCGTGCCACTCACGCGGTGCCTGGCGGAGACCGTAGACTGGCCGTCGGAGGCTCCACTGGGTGCCAGGAGGGAAAGTCCCAGTGAAGCTTGGTGGACGGCGCAGTCAGATCTCCTCGTGCAGGCTACCCTGCAGAAACACAGTGCTGAAGTCGAGAGAGTGAAGCTCGTAGTCGCGCTGAGCGGCTATGTGCAGCAGCACTCGAAGAGTGGTCATCCTCGGGGTGGGAGAGAAGGTCTGAAAGTAGTCAACTCCCTGCCGCTGACTGAAGCCACGAGCAACGTACCGCGCCTTGAAGACAGGTGGAGAGCCCGGCGGCCGCTTCACCCTGAAGATCCACATGCCACTGACGATGTTCGCCCCAGGAGGGGGAACCGTGTCAACGTAGGTGCCTGTGGACTTCCCGGAAGCCATCTCTGCATCCATAGCTGCCTGCCACTGAGAGGAGTAGGGACCCTCTACGGCCTCCGCGTAAGAGCGCGGAGTCGGGATGTCTAGTGCATCCGTGTCTCCCTCAGAAGCAAGCAGTACAGACGTGAGATGAGGTGAAGCAGCAGCCAGACACTGTAACTCCTCCTGCCTGTCCTCTAGGACGTCTGTGCCAAGAGCACACTCACCCCCGACGGACGGAGGACAGATAGACGCAGACTCAGCAACAAGACTAGCAGCGTAGTCTAGACGACAACGACCAGCAAAGTCGACGAGCTCACCGACAAGAGCAGACGCAGCAGCGGACTCAAAAGAGGGGTCAGTGACGACAGTAGCAAGCACACGCGTGACAGTAGGCCTGGCAGCACGAAGGGAGTCCGACTCAGGGTCGGCAAGAGCAGGAAGAGAGGACTCAGGAGGAGAAGGCAAAGGGGCACGCAGAGGAGCAGTAGACGGACGCAGAGACATCCGGTGCGTGCCAGGGACAGGAGGAGGACGCTGACGCGAACCGCGACCACTAGCACGAGCAGCACGAACAGGCGACGCGGGACGAGACGCAGGCTCACGACGCTCAGCAAGACCTCCAGTAGGACCAGTGTAAGGAGAGGGAGCAGGCAGTGGGGAGGAAGGCTCCAA